TCCTAGTGCCTCGATTCGCTCGTGATATACTATTCTGTCAATTAATTGCTCGCGATTCCTCGCGCGATTAGTACCGCCCGATGGGTTAAAATATTCATTTTAAAATCTAAATACGCCATAATGTGCCTCGATATTCGGCGACCAGCGCGAAATTGCTCGAGACGGAATAATTCCGTGGAATATCTTCGCCGTCTCTCCTACCCTCGTTCACAAAGCACGCAACTGTATTTCGTGACGCCGGGAATTAGTCGATTTTTTCGCCATCGCTAACAGAGACAAACTACCCCCGTGATCCCCGAAAATCCCGCACGCCATCTTCCGCCACATCGATTCGCCGAAAATTCTATAACACCGTAATCCCGCACGCACTTGCTCTCCGCCACCCAACCCTCTTTGACCCACGCGCCGGAAGCCACCCCCGGCGTGCACGGCGAGCAACGTTGAATGGAAATACACGCGGAGCGAATTAACGGCGGAAACGCGTTGGAGGCGGCGTAGGAGGGTGGAAAAAAGATTCTCGGGTGGAAAATCGCGCGTCCCGGCGAAGGGGTGTCGGCATTGTTAGGCCGCGTCGTTCGGCCGGCAGTCGTTAAAGCGAATATTACGGTAATACGGGGAAATTGTGGCTGGCCGAACGAACGAACGAACGAACGGACGAGGAGGAACCGACGAAAGGGACGACTAGGTGGCGGCATTTGTTCGCCGCGAGCTAGACCGTGAATTTTCCAGGGACGAGCGATTGCCTGGCGTCGAATACACAAAGCGAGATCGCGCAACAACGGGGCCAACCCTCTCTGTCCCACCCCGTTTTCCTTCTGTCTGCATGGTCCCTGGCGCTTCTTTCTCGCCAACGTTTCGTTCGTTTCGTGGTAGAAACGCCGGAACAAAGCAGATTGCTCTCCGGCCGGCGTTAAGTTCCTCGCGGCTGCGACGGTGGCGGCTTAATGACTTATCAGACGGGAAAATAGCGTGAAAGTGGATTATTCAAATTCTTCGCCTCGCGTATTATTATGCATGGAAAATTATCAGCGGCAGCCTCCGCCGGGAGGCGAGTTTGATTACGGCCTGAACGAGCTTTTTCGAGACCCGCGAGATTCTTTTGGTACCGCTGTTTGTCGTGGAACGTGGCTTGTTGCTTTAACCACCTGCGCTGGCAAGAAATTCGCAGATGCGTGTGCCAAAACGGTCCAGTGTAACTCGCTGGGAGATGTCACGCGATGTTCTAAGCCTTAAAGAAATCGGATAAAGATTTATATCTTCTAAACTAATTTATTCTCGACCGTAGGACTTCTAATCATTTTTTGAAGGGAATATAACGCTTCGATCGATGATAAAATTAAAATTAGTGGCTTGTCACTATTGCTAATATTCGCATATTCAATTCGAATTCAGTGATTCAAAGAAAACCTAATTTCACGGATGTCTAAGATTACCAAAATGAATCCTCTGTACCCCGGTCCCATGAATAGCACACAGCGCCATCAAAGAGTCATCTGAATCACGAAACGTGAGCAACTCCTAATCGATTATGTCCAACATCGCGAACCCTGTCACGTTCGGATAAATGCCCGAGGGTTTCTCGCGTTTCCGGCAGAACTTACGACGAACCCTTGAAATATGAAATCCTCCACGCACGGCCTGGGCGTGTTTCGAGCCGTCTCGATAATTCACGAAATCGATTGCACGAGGGATGGAACGGGTTTAGGCCTTTTACGACCCCCCGGCCCGTATTTACGTTATAGCCTAGGAAATCTGCGTCTGGGGCTCGTGTGGTCGCCTCGCATCGACACACCGCGCCGGTGCACCGGAAACGGGCACAGGAGGACACGCTCGCTGCGTATCCGCGTCGTTATGGCCGCGCTTCCGACCGTTTGTCCTACGAGGACGTCCTCCGATCCCTTCGTGCACCGGCGTTTCCGTCTTCGACGTCGCGCGCCTCTTCGGGGATCGTAAAGCCGCGTTATCGCGCTGACGACGCTGCTCGTCGTATCGAGACGCCTCTGCAAACGGAAGACCGTTAAGAATACGGAGGATCGTAAAGAACGGACGATCTGTTTCGACTCTAGGCTGCTCGCGAAACCTAAGAGAAATCCTTTCGACGGGTATTTAACAATGCAATTATGTCCTCTTTTGCGAGCGAGCGATCTTTGCATTAGATTAAATTACAGTGTACAGAGGTGAGGGTAATTTCAGTGTACGATAATGGCAGTTACACATACGTGGTTTAATGAAAGTCAAGATTTACTTTGGCAACAACTGCGTGCTTTCAGTCATTGCAAAAGTGAGATACCGGTAACTAGTTATTTCGTTTCCTTTGATAATTCAAGTGCAGTATGTTTCTCGTTATAAATGAATTAAACATAAATGGATATAAATATTGCTTCGTGTGGATATAAAAGATATTAGAAAGCCACGAAAACAAAAGTGAAAATGAGAAAATTTAATGGAATAAACAATGCCTACAATATAAGGACTCGAAAAATGTCATAGACAATTTGCAATAATTGTAATCATATACTAAACACGTTACTGAACAATCATCAGTGTATCTATGGTACCACAGGTTTAATGACCCTAAACTATAAAGCTATAAAATCAAAATCAGGCCCATTAAGAACCCATTCGTCGAAGAATGAACAATCCACCAATGAATCTGCAATATTTTCAACGAAAAGGGTAAAGAGTAGTATTAAATAAAAATTAGAAAAAGCGAAAGGTCATTATCTCGAGGGGGTCGTGTCAAGCCTGGTAACGAGAGGTCCAATGAATCGTTTAGGGTTGTTTCAAGCTGTCTGTTCTCTGTATACATATCACTGTTTATCCACCCTCTCTCTCCATACAACCCTACTTAAATAATACACACAGTTACCACGTATGGTAACGATAAAACCTCTGCTACCACATAGTAGCACTCGCAAAACAGCAGAGGCGATAAAATCGCGGCGGCAAGGTCGCGATCGCAAACTCGTTGCCATTGTCGGAGCAGCAGGTGCCATTGGGCGAACGGCAACGTTATCGCGCATTCTCCGGCGCCGGGTTATGCCAGGGTTGCGCGTACCCCATTCAGAAGTGGTCGTGCGCCGTGTTCAAAGGGCCATTACGAAAATGACCATTAAAATAAATTACTCTCATCGTGGCCTACGTTAACGCCCGGCAACGCTGCCCAATACCTTGGAATACGTGACGCGGAAATAGTCAGCCGCGTACGAATCAATTTACGGAAATAATGGCATGGGAACAGAGGGGTCGACGCGCGAAATTTCGACCGCTAGAAACAGTGAACCGTGTGCACCTTTGTGCGCCGGAAAATGTTCATCCTCCGCCGGATTTTGGTCACACACCGGCCGATAGGAACCGAAATTTCGTGATGAATACGAGTCCGCGAGATCGTTCGACTGCAGTTATTTCGAGCTGTGCAGGCGGCTGCAGTCATATTTCAAGGAATTTCCAATGGATTATCGAGCAGTCGCGTTTCGAACGAACGGTGGTTGTTACTTGAAATATTTTCTCGTTCTTCGACTAACCCACTCGGAATTGCAATATCGACAACGTGCACGGAAAAAGTGTGAGCGCCATTGTACATACCAAGCATAGGACTTAGACGGAATACTCTGTGATTATTAGAGGAAACGTTGAACACCTGGATTCGTATGTATTATCCATTTTTCTTGAGTTCTGTCCGTTAATTTTTGGGAAGAAAGTAGGAGTTTTATATCGTGGATTAGGCGAGAAAGACTTAGAGGAAAGGCATAAGCGATATATCGGCAAGAAGACAGATGAAGGATGGTATCACCTGAGAATATACCCTCCAGAAGGATATATTTCCGCGATAAGAAGACAAAGATTATAGGACAAAAACACCTATACGTCCCCACCCTGACGTCTATCTATTCCATATGCGAGTCTACCGAGAAAAATGGTCCAGGCCGACGACCATTTCTCTTACGCCGCTGAACCCCGATTACGCTTGCAATCATCTGGACTTACACGGAATTACCCGAAGTGTAAACGAAGGAAGAGGGAAGATATTTTCGATATCCCCTCATTTTCTGTAAAACCTATCACTTTTAGCTATGCCAAAAGGATAATTTCCGCTTATGGACAAACAGAGTGGGAAAAAAATATCGACGTTTATCGAGGTATTTTTCTTCCTCCACCTGTTCCCACGTCGACCCCTTTATTTTAACGCTCGATATTACCGTTTTTAGAGGAGCGAACCGTGGCCGGAGCGTTTGACGGCGAATCGAGTGGCGGTACATCGAAATCCTTTTTCGACGCGATTCAGCAAATATTGACGCTCGCGAATTGAAATTTGCATGGACGGCGAAATTGGCAAAATATTTCTGCTCGTAAAAGAACGTTCGGCGACGCGCGGCCTGCCCCGTATAGCGAGAAATGGAAACCGGGCTATGACGAGAAGCGACGACGTCGTCGCTGTTTGCCCCCCGGGAATATCGTTCGTCGGTTGACGCAAAACTCCACTCTTAAATTTAATATTACGCGTTCGATCGACGCATCTCCGTTCATCTTTGTCTTTCATCCAGTTTCGCGCCAGGAGCGAATATTTCGCCTGAGCACTGTACCTGTGTCGATGGATCTTTGGACAAGCGTCCAATCCCTCTAGCTCCTATCCACCTTAATCTTTCTCGAATCCTTTTACAGTCATTTGGTCGATCAAGCCCATCTTCGGTAGGGAGACATGTCAGTTCATCGGCTTCCTCGAACAAAAGGTTTCGAATAATCGGAATATGAAATTTATCGATCAAACTTGACAGAAGGCTAGTTGGTAAAATTTGGTACGTCGCAAAGAATGATTAAAATGGTTTACTTACACACTGGGAACGCGGATAACCTTGACATTAAACCGCCATCCTCTCCAAAGTGCTTCAATCGATCAACCCCGTCGCCAGTAGCGAGGTATCGCAGTTGACTCACGGGCTGGTAGGAAGACAGGAGACTTGGAAAAATCTGATTCTCAACACGATCCGGTCGTTTTTCAGGGTCCGGTCGGGGAAGTGGGCGGCGTCAGGCTGCCGTTGCAGTCATTACATGGGTACAGATCTGTGTTCATGTACTCGGCGTCGACGAGTCCCGGGGGTGGAGGTGGTCAGAGTGGCGGAGGCGGAGGCGAAGTGACCCTCCGCCTCCGCGAACCCGAGGACATTCCCGAAGAAGTTCTTGCACGCCTCGAGGACACAGCCACCCTCTCCATCTCTCTTCAAGGCGACGCATTGCTGAGGCTGGGGGCGGCTGGCACGGGTAAGTCACCTATTTCTTTCTCCGGTCACCTGTTCTTTCGCCGTGTTAAATGAACAGTGCAGCCAGTCTCTGTAACCGGGTGCACTTCCGTCGCGAGTTTCCAGAAATTCACCCGGTCAGCGCTTCCTTTCGTTCCGTCTCGTTATCGTCGCCACGTCTATATAGCGCACCCTCGTTCAACGCTTTCACGCCTCGTGTTTTCTCCGGAGTCGAAGAGATTCGACGACCGTCCAGATATATCCGGACGTATTATTTTAATTGATAGCGTGATCGGAATATGCGTAATGCGGATAATAAATGTCAACCGATGATCGTAATCTGCATGAAATACGTGGGTGTAGATCGGTGCTTACGAGCAGCGGCTATTATAAACCTACGAGCGGGGGTGTGCATATGTATTATTGCCAAATCGTTTCGTTTAGACAAGAAAGACTCGCTATGCGGACAATCGTTATGAATATTAATAAGCACGTGGGTTGGTCGCACGAGAATCATGTCTGCTTTAATAACTCGACAGTTAGCTTATTTTTTAACGAGACTAGGGTATAAATTATTATCTATGAAAGAAAAAGAATAAAGAGAAGGAATGCGCGCATGGGTTCGTATAAAAGTGTTTGAATATGATGAGGTCGTCGTTGATGGAACTTAAAGATGGCGGTCGGAATCAAGACTCGCGTTACGAAAGATATACTTCTATCTCGCGTACATATATTGTTCATTTGAGAACGTTACTTAATCCTAATAATGCGAAGCGTATTCTCCGCGAAAAATATTTATGCGGAATTTATGCGTTCGATTTATTCAAACTTTATAATAGCTACGCGAGAGGCTCTCGTCGTTAGAATTTCAAGGCGGGCAAGGGTTAAGAAATTGGAGACAGTCGGTGGGGGTGTACAATCTGCACGATTGAGTCCTCGAATGGTAAACGAAGCAACGTTCTTTGCGCGCGATTAATCGTGGCGAAATTAAAAAAGTGTTACGTTGGTGAAAGTCGCGGGGCGACCGGTTCGACGATAAATAATTGGCTTATACGGTGCATAAATTTCGGCTGGGTCGCGGCCTTCGTGAAACTTACCCCAGAATTTATTATAATGGGAATCGTCCCCTCGTATTTTTGGGATCGCAATTAATTTTCTGGTTTTCGAAGCGCGCGCGTGTGGCCCCGGCCAGATTAGCCGGCGCATTTGCACGCGTGTGCGCGGCCTAATGCAGAATTATTTTACTGAAATACGCCGATCCCGGCCACGCATTACCGACGATACTTTTGTACGATGCATTTTTCGCTGATAAGCCGGCCATTCGTTTCGTTTTATCGGCACCGATGCCGGTGCGCTCGGTTGTCGCGAAATTTGTGACCTCGATTAGTTGCTGAATGATCGCGTTGCTTTCCGGTGTAAGTGGAGTTTAGTAGATATTAAATATTCAGTTAGAGCTTGAAAATTATATTCTATGAGAGAATCGGGATTTTATTTCGCATAGTAACCAAGCTAATTAAATTACAACGATAAGTTAATATTTTATACATTTCTAATTATTTATTAGCCTAATAGCAAAATTTAATTTCCGATTTAATGAACGAAATATTATTTTAGCAACGTAGTCCCGTTCGAAAGGAACTATATCGACACCCAGTAACGCGTTGCGAATATTAAACAGCGTACCAAGTATCCTATAAATATCGAAAATCGTAACGAGTTCCTAACGTCGTCGTAAAGTCTGCGCAACCCCGGACGGAAAGGCAAGCTCTCGGGAAAAATACACAGAGAATGGCGACTTTAGAAATCCAAATGAACGTCGTATCCGACGTTTCCCTTGCCGCAATCGCCGCAATCGATTGCATTAACGATTAACCCCGAAGGAAACGGAGGCGTAACCGCCGTGGGGTGTGCTTTCTCCGAAAGGCGGAACTTCCAGATTGCTTCAGTTTCGTGTATTTCCATTGAAACTAAACGTCTAGCTTTGTTGGCCCGGACGGAACGGCCGTCGCGCAGCTTGATCTCGATAAATCGTTTTAAGCAGCCATTGCAGCCGGGTCGTATAGCGTTTCGAAAGCTCTAGCTGGAAAATAAAAGTTTTCTTATTGCCCGGGCGTCAGCCATCCCGGGGTTCTCGAGCATCGTCGAACGACGGGGTTCGATCTGTTTATTTGAAGAAACTTTCCGACAGGGATCGTCTCGCCAACGACCAACTATTCGATATTTTTCGCCTTGCCGTTCGAGCATCTTAAGACTGGCTCCTCCGCGATTCCATTCGACTTGCTGCTCAACGCTGTTGCTCTGAATCGACGCATAAACTTTGGCCCAGGTCACGGTATCATTGCAGGTATCTCGTGTTCGGCTAACTGTATTTCTCGCAAATATATTTTATTCCACGTTTCCAGCTCGGTGTTGTAAGTAATAGGCTCACCCTCTGCTATGTTACATCACGAACACTGCAACTCGCATGGTGTGACTTTCGCGGGGTTGTAAGGCTGTTTACGCGGATGAAGCCTACTCTAAATTAATAAAACTAGGCCTGATTAGGGTTGTACTAAAGAGTTCCAATGCGTGACTGTCTCTCGCGCTGAGTCGATGATCGTCGTGGGTCTGTCTTGACTGTCTGATCGTGATGCTTGTCTCGTCTACTTGGGATTTTTAGGAGAACCCTCTCGTGACAGCTGTCTAGGTGGTTTTATAAATTTTGTATGACTACTGACTGGTTGGTGTGAAATGTAAGTGGTGGATGTATGTCTTCCTGTCGGTTGTGAATAATACTGGGTGTGTGTGTTAGCTTCTACGTCTTTCCATGGTGGTGGATGTTTAAATAAGTTGGGTAACAAGTCACCCTATCGTCTTATAGGTGATTTATTGATCCGTGCTAAGGTTCATCCAAGTGGTGACTAGGTGATAAGGAGTGTATACGAATCAAGGGACGCTGGTCCTGGGGCCGCAACATGCTATATTCTCTCGTCTCCTACTTTTATAAATTCTCCGATTCCCTCGTATCGAACTACGAACTCGCTTTTATAATCCAAAAGGGGTTTTCCTTCTTTCGCACCCCGGTCTTAAGTACTCTTGCGACTCCAACTCTGGAAACTCAGTGACTGGCGATAAACATTCGCAGGGAATTCGTGCGCTGGCAATTAAGTCGGATAACTTTTATCCAATTCCTCTAAACAACTTCTAAATCCGTGCCGCCATCCGGTCCCAAGGTCTCATTAAACCATCTGGAAGCAGGCATTCGTTCGTTCCCCGTATTTTTCCGGGAAACAGCGAACAAAAGCGGGAATTCTAGCAAAACGAAAGCCCCGAGAGCAACAGAGGAACCGCGTTGGTCGGGAGCCGGCGAAACGGATTAAAACTTTTATCAGGGCTTTCAAAGGCAGCTGGTCCACGGGACAGAGGGTGCCCCGTGGCTCTGCCGAAAAGAGGATTCGTGGAACGATCGAACGTTAACTTCCGGACGATTTGTCTGAGCCTGCCGCGGTGGCTGCTGCTGCCTCTCGCGCATGCCGCGATAAATCCCGGATTTTCATAAGTTTTCTCTCCCGTTCTCCTTTCCTCTCCTTCTCCGTCCCTTCGTGACCCCTGTTCCGTCACGAAGGGGGGTCGGAGCCTTCGAAAGCCTCCTCGCCTGTCTCGCGAATCGCGACTCCCTTCTCCTCCGTGTCTCGTATTCTAAGCGTTCGCCAGAGCGATCGAACCCGAGATATATGCCCCCGTTTCTCCTTATTTTTTCCTCTCCACCTCCTTCTCTCACTCGCAGAAACGCGACTGGAAAAGAAATAGCGCGAGAAGGGAGGAGATTTATCGAAGTTGCGGCTTGTTACCGGGGCTTTACGCTTCCGAAGGTGGGTACCGCTCGAGAGCCGCGATAAAGGTGCTAGCAATTGATTAAGAGGGTCGTTTGTGCCAAGGAAATGCCACTTCAAACGCCACCCAGCCCGATCTTAGCCGTTTTCCAGGCCTCTTCTGCTCCACGGCTCTCGGATTCTTTTGTGCCACCCAGCCTCGCGTCAAAACTTCCGCGGTAATCCGCTCGGCGCTCGCCTGCAAATCGCGGATCTGCCGTTTTATGTTGGTAATCTGCTCGCGTTTTACCTCGTTCTTTGTGCAAACCTAGTCCCTCTCGCTCCTGCACGCGCTACGTTAACCGAGTGCAAATTGCAATTGGAATTCGGGGATTTGGAAGTTCGAGTGGTTACGGGGTTAGGGTTGTTTCTTCCTAGTTTTAGGGCGTAATCGCGGAATACGCGATCTTCGAAGGATCGTGTGTCTAAAAGTATTTTAAACGTAATATCTTAACTAAAATAATTGCAGAACTAACACGCGAATTTGTCCAATTATGGGGCCCCCTTTTTGGAAACATCTTTGATTATATTTAAAATAGGATGTATTATAGGTAAGGTGAAAAGTAAATTCGAGAAATTTACTTTGGAGAAAAAGTAGAATTCGAGGAAAGAAAAAGAGTAAATTCCGTCGTAGTAGTTTCGACCAGTCTTTGTCGGACGCCGCGCTGCAGTGAAGGAACCCTGTATATGGTCAGCCGTCGCGAGGCAAAAGAAGAAACGAAGTGGGGCGTGGAGGAGCGTCGTTTGGTAAAATCAACATTTCCTTACGTTCTCTCCCGTAAATCGAAAGTTCGAAATAGGACAGACAATTTCACGGGTATTACACGCGAAAGCTTCACGCAATTCGCAACCCCCTGTGCAATTTAGCGCTAGTTTATTTTCGAGAATCGAAATTTTCACGCGTGTCTAGAAATCAATGTGATCGATCGTGTTCCGACAGGGATAACAGTGCGTTTCCGTAAACCCGCCGGAAGAACGATGAGAACGCAACTAAATACACACGCGAATACGCTGCGGTCGGGGCGATTACATCTCCCAAATTAATTTCATTAACGTTTGAACAGCAAGGTAAATACTGAAATATATTTCAATCAGGCCGTTACGCGCCATAATTACGCGAATTCATTAGTCGCGTATTATTTTAAACATTTATAACAAGCTGGAAAGTAAT